TGAAAGTAGAAGAGAAGGAGAGGGAGAGTGAAAAAGAAACGACAAGTTGCTTAATTTAAGCACTGCTTCCCAACTCAACATTCTCAAGTGCCAATCAATGTTTTTCCACGAAAATACTTTTGTATTTCCTGACTTAATTTGCCATGATTTTCCTTTTAAGTCTTTATGCTGTGGGGGGGGGGGGGGGGGGGGTGTGGATGGGTGGTTGTTCTCATCATTATCTACTTCTTTACATTTTCATGCTTTTGGATTTTCTTCCTCTTTCTTTTGGTCTTCATCAAGTACAGAAATTAAGCATATTACATGACCTTGATGAAAATGGTATCATCTTTCTGATTCAGTTGCCCGTTTGTTCATCAGGACCACTGCTGGGGATTTTTTTCAGGAGACAAAAATTCAGCGATTATCTTTCATACTCCTTTGCTTTGAACTCAGTTGGTATGACGACGTATTTTTTTGGAATGTTATAATACACTTTTGGTATAAAGATATCTCATTGGACTAATACATTTTAAATTGTTTAAAACCCTTTCAAAAAATGTAAAACTTAGAAAAAAACAACATTTGCTAGTCTTTGAAAAATTTTGAAAAAAAATTAAAAACTACTCTCAATGGGATATATTCCCATAATTCCATAAATTCTAGTATTTTTTTGTTGTTGTTTACCTGCATCCTTCTACATGGCTTGGTAGAATATGTGTGTGTTCACACACACACACACAATGTTATTGTTATTGCTAAAAGTTTTTAATTAATTATAATTTTTTTGTTCATTGCTGTTGTTGCCATTCTTGTAGTGTTTCCGGGCTGTGTGCGTGTACATGTCTAAATAGAAAGTTTTAATTTTACTAACATTAAAATGCCATTTATGTTTCTTGTTGAACTCAAACGCATAGTTTTTGCAAATGGAAGGAAGTGAAGTCAAACTAATTTACCTTCTCCCACACATTTATACATACGAAATCAAAACAAACTAATCATATACGATGCTATTATTTCAAGGCGCATTTTTAAAGAATATTTTTTCAAGGCCAAAGTAAGCCTGGATTTTTTAAACGTAGATTTTTAAAAGAATATTTTTTAGGAATTTTTAAGAATATTTTTAAAGAATATTTTTTCAAGTACCCAAAAATATGGCGTGGATTTTTAAAGAATATTTTTTCAAGTACCCAAAAAGAAGGCGTGGATTTGTAAAGAACATTTTTTTAGGGTCTATAGGAGGCGTGGATATCTTAAAGAATATTTTTTTCAGGGTCTATAGGAGGCGTGGATATCTTAAAGAATATTTTTTCAGGGTCTATAGGAGGCGTGGATATCTTAAAAAATATTTTTTTCAGGGTCTATAGGAGGCGTGGATTTCTAAAGAATATTTTTTCTAGAAGGCGTGGATTTTTTAAGAATGTTTTTTCAGGGTCTATAGGAGGCGTGGATATCTTAAAAAATATTTTTTTCAGGGTCTATAGGACGCATGGATTTCTAAAGAATATTTTTTCTAGAAGGCGTGGATTTTTTAAGAATGTTTTTTCAGGGTGTATAGGAAGCGTGGATTTTTTTAAAAATGTTTTTTTAGGGTCCATAGGAGGCGTGGATTTTTTAAGAATGTTTTTTTTCAGGGTCCATAGGAGGCGTGGATTTCTTAAAGAATATTTTTTCTAGAAGGCGTGGATTTCTTAAAGAATATTTTTTCTAGAAGGCGTGGATTTTTTTACGAATGTTTTTTCTAGAAGGCGTGGATTTTCTTAAGAATGTTTTTTTCAGGGTCTATAGGAGGCGTGGATTTCTTAAAGAATGTTTTTTTCATGGTCTATAGGAGGCGTGGTTTTTTTAAGAATGTTTTTTTCAGGGTCTATAGGAGGCGTAGATTTCTTAAAGAATGTCTTTTTCAGGGTCTATAGGAGGCGTGGATTTTTTTCAGAATTTTTTTTCAGTGTCTGTAGGAGGCGTGGATTTTTTAAGGATGTTGTTTTCAGGGTCTATAGGAGGCGTGGATTTCTTAAAGAATATTTTTTTCAGGGTCTATAGGAGGCGTGGATTTCTTAAAGAATATTTTTTTCAGGGTCTATAGGAGGCGTGGATTTCTTAAAGAATATTTTTTTCAGGGTCTATAGGAGGCGTGGATTTCTTAAAGAATATTTTTTTCAGGGTCTATAGGAGGCGTGGATTTTTTAAAGAATATTTTTTTAAGGGTCTATAGGAGGCGTGGATTTTTTAAAGAATATTTTTTCAAGGGTCTATAGGAGGCGTGGATTTTTTAAAGAATATTTTTTCAGGGTCTATAGGAGGCGTGGATTTTTTAAAGAATATTTTTTCAGGGTCTATAGGAGGCGTGGATTTTTTAAATATATTTTTTCAGGGTCTATAGGAGGCGTGGATTTTTTAAAGAATATTTTTTCAGGGTCTATTGGAGGCGTGGATTTTTTAAAGAATATTTTTTCAGGGTCTACATAAGGCGTGAGGCGTGGATTTTTTAAAGAATATTTTTTCAGGGTCTATAGGAGGCGTGGATTTTTTAAAGAATATTTTTTCAGGGTCTATAGGAGGCGTGGATTTTTTAAAGAATATTTTTTCAGGGTCTATAGGAGGCGTGGATTTCTTAAAGAATGTTTTTTCAGGGTCTATAGGAGGCGTGGATTTCTTAAAGAATATGTTTTCAGGGTCTATAGGAGGCGTGGATATCTTAAAGAATATTTTTTCAGGGTCTATAGGAGGCGTGGATTTCTTAAAGAATGTTTTTTCAGGGTCTATAGGAGGCGTGGATATCTTAAAGAATATTTTTTCAGGGTCTATAGGAGGCGTGGATATCTTAAAGAATATTTTTTCAGGGTCTATAGGAGGCGTGGATATCTTAAAGAATATTTTTTCAGGGTCTATAGGAGTCGTGGATATCTTAAAGAATATGTTTTCAGGGTCTATAGGAGGCGTGGATATCTTAACGAATATTTTTTCAGGGTCTATAGGAGGCGTGGATTTCTTAAAGAATATTTTTTCAGGATCTATATGAGGCGTGGATTTCTTAAAGAATGTTTTTTCAGGGTCTATAGGAGGCGTGGATTTCTTAAAGAATATTTTTTTCAGGATCTATATGAGGCGTGGATTTCTTAAAGAATATTTTTTTAGATGTCCATATGAAGGCGTGAATTTCTTAAAGAATATTTTTTTCAGGGTCTATAGGAGGCGTGGATTTCTTAAAGAATATTTTTTTCAGGATCTATATGAGGCGTGGATTTCTTAAAGAATATTTTTTCAGGATCTATATGAGGCGTGGATTTCTTAAAGAATATTTTTTCAGGATCTATATGAGGCGTGGATTTCTTAAAGAATATTTTTTTCAGGATCTATATGAGGCGTGGATTTCTTAAAGAATATTTTTTTCAGTATCTATATGAGGCGTGGATTTCTTAAAGAATGTTTTTTCAGGATCTATATGAGGCGTGGATTTTTTAAAGAATATTTTTTCAGGGTCTATATGAGGCGTGGATTTCTTAAAGAATATTTTTTCAGGGTCTATATGAGGCGTGGATTTCTTAAAGAATATTTTTTCGGGGTCTATATGAGGCGTGGATTTTTTAAAGAGGGTCTATATGAGGCGTGGATTTTTTAAAGATATTTAGAGGGTCTATATGAGGCGTGGATTTCTTAAAGAATATTTTTTAGGGTCTATATGAGGCGTGGATTTCTTAAAGAATATTTTTTAGGGTCTATATGAGGCGTGGATTTCTTAAAGAATATTTTTTAGGGTCTATATGAGGCGTGGATTTCTTAAAGAATATTTTTTTCTAGTACCCAAAACAGAAGGAATATTTTTCAAGGACTAGAATAGCCGTGGGTTTAAAAAGGAATATTTAAAAAGGTGGGTTTTCAAAGACCAATACAATGGCAAAATTTTTAAATACAATTTTTATGATTTTTTCAAAGAATATTTTCGTGGATTTTAATAAGGATTATTTTTCAAAGGGACATTGAATTTTGCAAAAAATATTTTTCAAGGGTCGATTAATGTGAAGTTTTGAAAGATTTTTTTAAGGATCGCATTAGTGTTACATTCACAAACAATATTATTTAAGACTCACACTACCGTTTAATGGCTATATCTATGGTTCTACTTTTTTTATTATTTTGAAGGGTTTATTTTCCTTTTCCCCCATCGGGAAACATATTTGCGGAACATTTTCGATACAGGTAGGTTGATAAAGTCTTTATATAAATGTCCACCTACTGTTGGGATTTCAACTTTTTAGGCGCATTTCATCGCCGAAGTGCCTGTCCTTTGTCATTCCGGTGTGAGAAAGATATCTGCCGAATATTTTGATACAAGAGTCATATTTGGACATAGCTCCAATAAATAGATCCCTCCCCGTTTATGTTACCTTAAAGGCGCATGTCCTCAAAAATGTGTCTGAAATTTAGCATTCGGGGTTTTAGAGGTTAAGCTTTTTTGCAAAAAAACTTGATTTTTTTAATTTTTGTTGTTTTTTTCATTAGTACTTTTCCACCAGAAAGCCTGGAATTTGGCATTCCAGATTTGAGGAGTATAAGAAATTTTTTTCAAATATTTTTTGTTAATATAGAACCTTGTTTGTTAACGGGTCCCAAAAATGGACCCCCTAATTTTATTTTCTCACAACATAAACAAAGCAAAGAATTTACTAGGACACAGTCTCCGAATGAAGGTCCTGAACTTTTGACGAACATTTTTAATTAACAGCATATGGTGGAGAGCTTGAAGAAAAAATGGACCCTGTCGAAGTTAACGACGATTTTATTTATTAAAGAATATTTCTTCAGTTACTATCGAAATTTCTTCTATTTGTAGGAGAAAATTTCCTTCTTATCGACACATTTAAATATTTATTCAAATACAATTTTCCCTCACGTTTTCTTAAAGTTGTATTGCCCATCCCCGTACTTATCGTTACCAGCACCTTATATTAGAAGAATCCTCCATATAATTCATGCATAGAACATAGCAACAAAAACAAAAACAACGGCAAGAAAAACATTTACTCACCTGAAGATAGATTGTGTCGTGATGACATGGACAAATTTCTTGGTAATGTCATGCAATCACCTCCCGCTCCCCCCTGACTAGTCATCAACATATTGCTACGGCCATCAAGTAAAGCATTACTAATACTGCTGCTGGCCAGTGTCATGGTGCCATTACCACCACCTCCGCCACTGCCACCACCAGGATTGCGTCCATAATTTATTGAGCTGGCATGATGCAAAGTGCCAGCTTTTGGCAATGTCATCATGCCGGGATTGTATGAAATATTCGAGGCGGTATTCATGCTGCTACTACTGGCTACCGAGACACTGGGATTGCGTCCAAAGGTTTGAGTGGAGCCGGTCTGTAGTGTCATGGCCCCGGTTGTATTACCAGCAACATTAACCTGGCCGGAGTTCATGCCTTTGATTTGTAAATGTTCACGTTGGGCAGCAAGGTGAGCTTGTTGTTGTTGTTGCTGCTGCTGTTGCTGAGCCTGTAATTGCTGTTGCTGGGTTTGGGCCTGTTGTTGCTGTTGTTGTTTGCTTGTTGTGCTGTAGGTAACATTATTAATAATTCCCGATCCCATTAGGCCACCAGCAGAGTTAATGTCCATTGCTTGTTTGGCACTGCATAAATTGGAATTGATGCCTCCGCTACCAGCACCACCTCCTGCACCACCAGCATTCATGCCCGGAGGCCCACTGGACATTTGTTGCTGCTGTTGTTGCTGTTGCTGCTGTTGTGATAATTGCATGGCCGTATTCGAACACATGTGTGGCGGCGGTGGCTTAACATCGCTGGCTGTCAGTAGAATCGTACCCTGATCTCCATGATTTTCCACATCCACAATAACATTGGCACTCTGCGAGTGTCCCATGTGATAGTGGGCATGCTTTATGGGATCGGGTGGATACGATGGCACCTGTTGATGCATACTGCGTTGCTGATATTGTTTTTGCAGTGTCTTCACCTCCAAACGCGTCTTGTCACGCTGATAATAAACTCCGGCAAATATTAAAACATTCAAGATGAGTAAACTACAGCCAATCGCTATGGTGACACTTAAAGCTGTGGAGTACGCAGCATAGCCGGCCGATTCGAAGCCGGAGGCCAGGGTATCGGTAGTGGCGTTGGCCATCGTTGTGGGTGCATACACCCCACCGGCAGTGTAGTTGCCACCGCCAACTGGGATACAGGTTGTGTACATGTTCGGCTCAACGGTGGTCACTGAAAGCAAAAACAAAAACAGAAACAAAGATATTGAAGAGTGTGAAAGAGAGAAAGTGCGAAATGAAAAAAAATAGATGAACAAAAATTACATGAATATTCATTAAGATTCATTGATGGAAATGTTGAGTACTGTACAGATTCAGGTAGTCAGGTATGTGGGCTTATTTCAATATGGATAAAAATCTGGGGAAATGGTTTGCTACTTTTCCGTTTGTTATCCTTTTGAAGAATATCTGCAGCTTAAAGGAATTCAGAAATGATTATTATGGCATATTTCATCAAAGGATCAAAAGAGATTTTTTAAATAATAATATTTCAAAGGACCCACAAGGCGTGGACTTTTTAAAAAATCTTTTTTCAAGGATTATAGAAGGCGTAGATTTTTAAATAATATTTTTTAAAAGACCATCATAGGCGTGAATTTTTTAAAGAATATTTTTTAAGGACCATCATAGGCGTGAATTTGTTAAAGAATATTTTTTAAGGACATTCCCAACGCGAGGATTTTTTAAAGACTATTTTTTAAGGACCATCATAGGCGTGAATTTTTTAAAGAATATTTTTTAAGGACCATCATAGGCGCGGATTTTTTAAAGAATATTTTTTAAAAGACCATCATAGGCGTGAATTTTTTAAAGAATATTTTTTTAAAGGACCATCATAGGCGTGAATTTTTTAAAGAATATTTTTTAAGGACCATCATAGGCGCGGATTTTTTAAAGAATATTTTTTCAAGGACCATCGTAGGCGTGGATTTTTTAAAGAATATTTTTTCAAGGACCATCGTAGGATTTTAAAGAAAACTTATCTAGGTACTCAATGGCGTATAGATTTGGATTTTCAAAGAATATTTGTGTAAGGACTCAATGGCCTATAGGCGTGGATTTAAAAAAAATATTTCTCTAAGGACTCAGTGGCTCATAAATGTGGATTTTTAAAGAATATTTCTCCAAGGACTCAATGGCCTTGGAGAAATAGAATATTTCCCTAAGATCTCAAATGCTTATCCTAAGAATATTTCTCTATGGAGTCAATGGGCTATAGGCGTGGATTTTTAAATAATATTTCTCTAAGGACTCAATGGTCTATCGGAGTGAATTTTTAAATAATACTTCTCTAAGGACTCTATGGCCTAGAAGCGTGGATTTTTAAAGAATATTTCTCTAAGGACTCAATGGCCTAGAAGCGTGGATTTTTAAAGAATATTTCTCTAAGGACTCAATGGCCTAGAAGCGTGGATTTTTAAAGAATATTTCTCTAAGGACACAATTATATAAAGTTGTGTTTTTTACGAATATTTCTCTAAGGACTCAATGGCATTTATGTGTTTTTTTAAGAATGTTTCTCTAAGGACTCAATGGCCTATAGGCGTGGATTTTTAAAGAATATTTCTCTAAGGACACAATGGCCTATAGGCGTGGATTTTTAAAGAATATTTCTCTAAGGAATCAATGGCCTATAGGCGTGGATTTTTAAAGAATATTTCTCTAAGGACTCAAAGGCCTATAGGTGTGAATTTTTAAAGAATATTTCTCTAAGGACTCAATGGCCTAGAAGCGTGGATTTTTAAAGAATATTTCTCTAAGGACTCAATGGCCTATATGCGTGGATATTTAAAGAATACTTCTCTAAGGACACAATTATGTAAAGTTGTGTTTTTTACGAATATTTCTCTAAGGACTCAATGGCCTTTATGTGTTTTGTTAAGAATATTTCTCTAAGGACTCAATGACCTAGAAGCGTGGATTTTTAAAGAATATTTCTCTAAGGACTCCATGGCCTATAGGCGTGGATTTTTAAATAATATTTCTCTTAGGACTCAATGACTTATAGGCGTGGATTTTTAACGAATATTTCTCTAAAGACTCAGTGGCCATAAATGTGGATTTTTAAAGAATATTTCTCCAAGGACTCAATGGCCTGTTGTTTTTATTTCTTGCTAGAATCCTTTCATATACCTGGCATTTGTCACCCATGACACATTTATTTCGTTTTGTTCTGCTCCAACTCGGATATTTTTAGAATTGTTTTCTGAGATGACAGCGTGCTGATGCAAAACGTTAATGTCGCGGAAATATTTTTACAGCAAATGTTTGGCTTTTTTCCTCAAGTGGCAGCACTTGAAAATGTCTACAAACTTTTCTTGCGTTTTAGTTTTTCTTCCTTTTTTGTCATTCTTTCATTCATTCACTGTCCAATTTTAGGCGGCGGAGGCGACGTCTGGTCTTTTATAGTCTACATCCTTAACATTAATGTTTCACTTTTTTTCTCAGGGACTTCATAAATGGACTAAAAGGTTTGCGACTATATTTTTTTTAGTTTAGTTGAAATGGGTTTTGGTATATTTGAGGACTCCAATGTTCAAACTTTGTTTCCTAATGTTAAAAGGAGTTTCATTTTTGGGAAGTAATAGTTTTGCTTTTCGTGGTTGCAGGGAAAAAATGAAGTTTAAACTGACGCAGTGAATTTGTTTTTAATTTCTGCTTCAGATGCCAACTTAATGTTGGCCAATAGAGAATGTTTGTATCAGAATTCGCATGGGTTTTTGGGAAAATTTGGCAATAAAGAATTTTTGCATCCGAATTAGGATGGGTTTTTAGGAAAACGGAATCTAAATAATGTTTAAAGATATGTTTCAATATCCTTTTCTCTTTAAGTTATTTGAAATTAACATTTAATAGAAAATCTCGTCCTTTCATTAAACATTTATTAATTTTGAACAAAAATTGAAATTTTCGCTCCCCAGTGTTGTTGATCATTTTTGCACGCAAGTATTGACATTTTTATTGCATCTTTGCAGACCAGTCCCGACAGAGGGACAGACAGACAGACAGACAGACCGGATGATAATTGTTGTTGCTGCTGCTTTGGCTTTATTATATTGCCGGAATGATATGCAAATTTAATTTTAACAATTTTCACGAATTGTATATTTCCTACGTTGGTATCCTTTTGGTTCAGTGGTCGAAACTGTTTCTTTTTTTTATCGATAACCATGAACAGGCTGTGTCCACGCAAGCAATACACATACGCACATACACACACACAAATCTATATAACCATTCATGTATAAAAATCCACACACATACACACGCCTGTCCATATGTGTATAGACTTTGGCATTACAATGCGGTCGAGGTTGATTTACTTTAATTCCTGAACAGCTTTCAACAATTCGTTGACATTTTCAATTTTTAATTATATCAGCAGTAACTGACATGGTCAATGAGTTCGAAACAAACATTGTGCGATATGTATGTGCGTGTGTGTGTGAATGTATATCTGGCACAATGTGTGGGGTTGTAGATATATTAGGTGTGGATGGAGATAATAATGGTCTATAGACGTGGATTTAAAAAAAAAAAAAAAATATTTCCCGAAGGACTCCGTGGCCTATAAGCCAGGATTTTTAAAGAATATGCCATGAAAATTTACAGAAGAAGGATAAGCGCGGATTTTTAAATAATATTTCTCTAAGGACCCAATGGCCTAGCAGCGTGGATTTTTACAGAATAGTTTTCTAAGGACTCCATGCCTTATACACGTGGATCTTTAAAGAATATTTTTTCCAAGGACCCCATGGATTTTTAAAAAATATTTTTCTAAGGACTCCATAGATCTTTAAAGAATATTTTTCCAAGGACTCCATGGATTTTTAAAAAATATTTTTCTAAGGACTCCATAGATCTTTAAAGAATATTTTTCTAAGGACTCTATAGCCTATAAGCGTGGATTAAAAATTTTTTCCCGAAGGACTCCATGGCCTTTAAGCCAGGATTTAAAAAAAAAATATTTTCAGAAGGACTCCATGGTCTATAAGCGTGGATTAAAAAAAATATTTCCCGAACGGCCCTATGGCCTATAAGCGTAGATTAAAAAAAATATTTCCCGAAAGGCTCTATGGCCTATTACCCTAGATTTTTAAAGAATATTTTTCTAAGGACTCTATGACCTATAAGTGTGGATTTTTAAAGAATACTTTTCTAAGGACTCCAAACCCGATAAGCGTAGATTTTTAAAGAATAATTTTCTAAGGAGTCCATATCCTATAAGCGTGGATTTTAAATAATATTTCTCTAAGGACTCAATGGTCTAGGACTCCATATCCTATAAGCATGGATTTTAAATAATATTTCTCTAAGGAGTCAATGGTCTAGGAGCGTGGATTTTAAATAATATTTCTCTAAGGACTCAATGGCCTAGGAGTGTAGTTTTCTAAGGACTCAATGGCCTAGGAACGTGGATTTTTACAGAATAGTTTTCTAAGGACTCCATGCCCTATACACATTGACCTTTAAGGAATATTTTTCTAAGGACTCCATGACCAATAAGCGTGGATTAAAAAAAATATTTCCCGAAGGACTCCATGGCTTTTAAGCCAGGATTTTTAAAGAATATTTTCAGAAGGACTCCATGGCCTATAAGCGTGGATTAAAGAAATATTTCCCGAAAGGCTCTATGGCCCATAAGCGTAGATTTAAAAAAAAAATATTTCTGAAAGACTTCATGGCCTATAAGCGTAGATTTTTAAAGAATATTTTTCTAAGGACTCTATGACCTATAAGCGTGGAATTTTAACGAATAATTTTCTAAGGACTCCATACCCTATAAGCGTGGAATTTTAAATAATATTTGTCTAAGGACTCTATGACCTATAAGTGTGGAATTTTAAACAATATTTTTCTATGGACTCCATACCCTATAAGCGTGGAATTTTAAAGAGAATTTTTCTAAGGACTCCATTTCCCGAAGGACCAAAAAACCTTCTTTTGATTTTTTTTTGAATTTAATTGACTAATTTTCATTTTTCAACATCCCACCCTAATATTATCCCATGACATCCGTTGTCAAAATGAATCCCCTTTTTAATGTTATAGATTTCACAACCTCAAATTAAAATTAATTCAGTGAGAAGAAAATAACAGCAACAATGAGACACAAGAAACCTTTCAGACCTCAAATTATTCATCCAATAAATAGCGTTCATTTATCTGTTT